TCAGTAGATACTAAGATAATAAGGTCTCCAGTAAATTGTACAATCATAAAGAGTGCATTGAAACAAACCTTGTCAATGAAGGAGGCGAAGCGGTTGTTGAGGGTCTTGATCTGCTCCTTCTCCTGGTTGCGGACAAGCTGGATGGTGGGGTCAATCTCCAGGCTCAGAGGGGCCAGCAGGCTCTGGTTGACTGTGACAGCTGTGATGGGTGGAGGGATGAAGGCGCCTCCTGCTTGGCTAGAAGATAAACCATAGCCACTCATGCTTCCAGATGTGAAACCACCTCCATAGCTAGCGCCAGAACCAAAGCCAGAACCAAAGCCAGAACCACCACCAGAACTGTAAGTTGCTCTTTGTACGGAGTAGTTGACTGGGGCAAGCGACCTCCTGGTGGAGCCACCCGAGCCTGAGACTGAGTATGACTTCCTCATCATCATGTTTGCAGTGGGAAAGGTTGTCAACTCTCTGAGAAGAGGAGAGCAGGAGATGAGATGTCGTCAAAAGGAGAGCCAAGTCCCTCTGAGTGTCTCACTGTGGACTCTGCTGGCTTTTATGTCTTTGCTGAGATGAGGGCGGGGGGAGGACTTACTGAGCCACCTCAACCTGTACTGTCACTTCTGATGTCCAGCCTCCCCTCCACCTCAGCCTCTGGCTCTGAATGACAGGATTCCAGTCACCTAACCTGCCCAACAGGGGCTTGCATCTGAGGAATTCTCTACAGATCTTAGCTCTCTCATTTTTAACTACTGCACACCCTCAGTCCCAGTGAGGAAGTGGCTGTAGGGTTGCAGAAGTCTCAGGCACCATTTCTCTGCCATCATGCTCACGTTTCTTGTGCTCCTCTTCCACAGGTGTTTTGTGCTCATCAGCTGTGTGCGGTCAAGACAGGATAAAATATGTCTTTTCTGTCCATGGAGTTTAAAGGGAGGCCTGTCAAGATTTGAGGTATCACTCAGTGAGCAGCATGGGTTTGGTTTATAACAGAATCCATTGTACAAGCAGATTCAGATAATGTACTCAACATAAACTAGCAGGTAACAGAGCATTTGCATTGTTGGGAAGGTTACTTTTTAAATGGTTACAGACTAATTACGCTGTTAAAATGTAATAAGTAATGTAACTATTTCACTTTGGTTATCAAAATAATGTAACTTATAAATTCTATTGATTACTTTTCTAACAAATGTTTGAAACTGAGCAACAAAGCAACTTTTATTGCCTAATGCTGTGAGAAAGTGCAAACAAGGTAACGCACTGCAACAGCTCAGCGAGGAGCAGAGTAGGGAAAATGGCAGCTCTCCATGCTGACAGGCAGGAAGGAGAGCACACAATGGTATCACCCGATATCAGTCACATGCTCTGTTCCTGCTCAGAGCAATGCACAGTAATTTAATTGGCAGACTAGAGGTGGTGCAAATCCAAACAAGAACCAGTTCAAAACAAACATTTTAGCACATACTGCCAAATAAATGGAGCCTGTCTGGACATAGAGACAGCTTCTTCTAAGCCATCCTACCCCGATGGTGTTGCTGTCAAATTTGTCCCAACAGCTTTGCTGACTGGCCTTGTCAGGAAATATGCCAAAAGAAGGCATTCCCACATGACAAAAAGATGCAATGCAATAAAGCGTATGTTATGTTCTACACATAAGCTTTTTACCAAATAGAGTATATGCAGATGTGACATTTTTAACACCAACATTTTGTTTAGAAACTGTAATTTACTGACATATTTTTCTCAGTAAGTGTTATGGATTACAGTCATATTTATTGTGTAATTGAATCATGCAACTCCGTTACATGAATCTAGTTACTCCAAAACACTAGCGACAATCCACAGCCACTCTAAGATGTGGCAAAACTGAGCATGCCCATGACAGCTTATGTTTAAACTGCAGAAGCCGTTCAGTGGTGAAATGTCAAAGTCTCTGTTTTTCAGTTTTTGTGTGTCCTTGCTGAGTTGTAAGGAGTGAGGCTTTGTGGATATAAAACCTTTATGAATCATGATTTTCATATTTACTAGAAGTGACAGTGTAGAATTCACAGCCAGGGTTTCAGCATTATTTAAGTATGAATTAAAGGTTGATTGTGGATCAAGATTGAGTCACTAATGAATTTTGCTTTGATTTTACAAAGTGAATCAATGTTGATTTTACAATACCCTTTCAGTGTCTTACTTTTCAACATGGGGGAATCACAGTTTTGTGTTGAATTAGGTATTGATTTGGCAAAACGAATCAACACTGACATTTTTTTTGCAACGTTTTCAGCACTGAATGAACTATTGATTGAGTTTTATTTTCATTCTTCATGGTGCACATTTGTGCATTCAAATAAGATAAAACATATTATAACTGGATCAACAACACTGACTGAATCCATTGATGTAGATTTCTGGTGGGATGCAGGGGACACATCCCCCTCAGTATTTCAACATGAGTATTTGTCCCCCACAATTAAAACAGGAAAGTTGAAGATTTTTGGTTGAGATCAATTTAAACATTTACATGCAGAAAAGGCACAAATTGGTGCATAGAAATTCACCAGAATGCAGGAAGTTAAGTGCTTGATGCTCAAGAGGTCATTTCATACTCTGAATCACAGATCTCACACAGCTCCTTTAAGTAAAACCCTCCTGTGCTGTTTCTTTCATTTGTGACAACAATAATGAGAGTGAGAGGCAGTCATTTTAGTTCTCAGATTTATTTTATTCAGATTCATTTGATGTCAATTGCTGCAACATTTATCAGTCATGTTGCGAGGAAGTGGCTTTCACAAAATAAATCTGGTTTCAACATTGTCTCATCTTGAAGGGAAGGAGAGGTAAAACTAAGCATGGAACCATTTGACAGAACGGTAAAATGAACAAATCAATAGCCAATCAGTTCAAAGGGAAACTGTAAACATTTATCATGCAAATTTTAAATTTTGTGTTTCTCCAGTGATCAGATTCGGTCAGTGACTTGCTCCCCTTACTAAAATCAGCACTCAAATGTAGGAATGAGGACATACACCCAAAACTGGAGCATAAGAATTGAGTTGTCCTGCACATATGATACACATGATCTTATCTCAGACCAGTTTATTAGTGCACTACAGTACAAAGAGTATCTAAGTTGACAGAATTGAGTACAGATTTTCAAATGCTTTCCTTGCTTAGTTTTTACGCTCCTTAAAAACCTTGTGTTTGTATTTCTTGAATGTCAGTGCAGAAAGGACTGACCTGGCCCTTGTGTGTTTAAGGCCATGTTTACCTTCAGAAACTCTTGTTAAATGTTGTTAATCAGAGCGGAGTAAGAAATGCGGCCAGTGATCCTTGAAACACAGCTGGTAGCAGTGTAACACAATATATCCAGCTATCTTGTTGAGCATGCTTTACAGTACTGCATAGCACCATGGATGGGTACAAATTTAGTTTAAAATCAAGAGTTTTTGAAGGGGAAGAGGGACGGCTCTCCTTTTTAATAGCGTCTGAGGGAACTGGTTGTTGTGACTGAGGACTTGGTAATGGTACCACCACTCATACCGCCATAACCGCCAGACATGCTGCCCCCATAGCCGAATCCACTTCTGGAGCTCTGGAGTCCTGGAGCAGAAAAAAACATGTAGGTGTTATCATTCCTCCATCTGTCAGTGTGGTCTGTTGGTTCACATATAACTTATGATAATGATGTATAAAATCTGAAACTTACCACCTCCACTGGTCTGCTGCACGTGGATGGTTGCGTTGGAGCCTCCGCTGGCCAGTCTAATGTAGAAATAATGACGGGTTAGTTCTTCATTCAGAGTTGAAACTGATGCTGCAGCCATGAATCTACATGAAATAATCAAGTTTATCCCACCTGGACTCCTCTCCTTCCAGCAGTTTCTTGTAGGTGGCGATTTCGATGTCCAGGGCCAGCTTGACGTTCATCAGCTCCTGGTATTCACGCACCTGGCGTGCCATGTCCTGCTTGGCTCTCTGCAGAGCATCCTCCAGGTCCTTGATGCGTAGCCTGGCATCCTTCACTGCCAGCTCACCGCGCTCCTCAGCCTCTGCGATCTGAGCCTCAAGGCTGGCCCTCTGAGGAAAGTCATGTCACAGGTGGTTTAATAACTGCAAATCCTTTCAAACAATGAAGTGTGTTCATAAAAAGGCATCAGCCATGAGAAGGTCTTTAAATATACCTGTCCCTTGACAGCCTCAATCTCATTCTGAATACGGGCGATCATGCGGTTCAGCTCAGCAATCTCAGCCTTGGTTGTGCGCAGGTCATCTCCGTAAAGTCCGGCTGAGGACTGCATCTCCTCGTACTATCATGAAAAACACAACAAGATGTATCAAGAACATGATCCAGAGGTGTTTAAAGAGACACAGGATATACCTCAACTTAAATTTTTACTCACCTTCTGTTTGTACCAGTTCTCGGCTTCAGCCCTGCTGCGGTTGGCAATGTCCTCATACTGAGCACGCACTTCAGCCACGATAGCATCCATGTCCAGGTTACGGCTGTTGTCCATCTCCACAATGACGGATGTGTCCTTGATCTGGCTCTGCAGCTCACGAAGCTCCTACAGAACCAACGGTTACAACAGTTACCTCTGTCTTTGTGATTTACACAATGAGTGGATGATCATCAGCTTTAACTCAAATGGTCATTAGAGAATCATGAACTATGAGATACTATAGACACGTACAGCCTCATAGACAGCTCTGAGGAAGTTGATCTCATCCTGAAGAGCATCCACCCTGGCTTCCAGCTCCACCTTGTTCATGTAGGCAGCATCAACGTCCTGGAAGAAGACAGTCATGTAGACGCAGAAAGTGTTACAACTGGCACTAAACCCTGGAATTAAGATAATAATAATAGTCATGATAATGGTCATCTTGATGTATTTGCACCTTCTTCAGGAGCACAAACTCATTCTCTGCATTTCCACGTTTGTTGATTTCCTCTTCATACCTGAAGGAACACGAGGCAACACTTTAGTAAATCTGCTCCACTTTGAACATCTGCTCACTGTCATGTGTTTGTTGTATGTCATGCAAGCACTCACTTCTTCCTGAAGTCCTCAACATGGCCCTGCATGTTTCTCAGTTCTCCCTCCAGCTTGACCTTCTCATTGCCCAGCCCGTCGAGCTGTCTGCGCAGGTTGGCAATGTAGGCCTCGAACATTGCATCAATGTTGGAGTGGGTGGTGGTCTGGTCCTGCAGGAGGCTCCATTTGGTCTCCAGCATCTTGTTCTGCTGCTCAAGGAAACGGACCTGCGGAGACACAAAACCAGGGACGAGTGTGAGATGTTGTTTCAAAAAGCATTTTCTATAAATAATAGTTAATAAATAGCCTCAACTGAAAAAAATCAGGACATTTTTAATGGGAGGTATTAGTGCAAAACCGATTTGAAGCGTGTGTCCTTGGGGTCGTCGTTACCTACATGATTGTGTAGATAGCTACAAATGGTAATTGCCACACCCTTGTGACGACAATCGTAATTTATGATGGCATTTATTTGTGTTTGCTGTTCAAGCAATTTCAATAGTGCTCACACATCATCAATTTTTCCTTCTTAAAACAAAATGTTCTTTCCAGATTTTTCATGTGCTCGTGGCTTTAAGTGTTTCACATATTGTTTCTGTCTTTTCCTATGACTCGTTGTGCATGCTCAGTTGCATGCTATGAAGGCCACACAGTCACTCCGGCTATAAAAAAAACTAGGTGTGGCAGATAAAGAAGACAAAGCAGTGCACTATTATGGGACGGCTTTGTTTTGTGAGTTTTTGTCCAAGTGCCAACCTATAGTGTTTAGAGAGTCTGACTCTACAAAAAGAACAACTCCTCATATAGCTTGCATGAAAATATTAACACATATGTGTGATTGTAGCATAAAAGACAAGTGAAAGTGGATTTACTGCTCTGCACTTCTCTGTACAGTCTTGTTGCCCATAACAACCAGGTGATAGGTGCAATGTGCAAATGACAGACTTTGGACTCTGTGGGCATAGTGCACACAGATTCCTATTTTCTCCACCAGACTCCCAGGTAAGGGATGGGTGAGTCACTGCAATATAATCCCCACCCATGTTTAGATAGTGGGCAGAGAGGCCGCCACAGGCTCAGACAGGGCAACAGGCCAACTTTGGATTTGCCAGTGTAAGATGGGGTCACAATCAATGACAGAAATTTGAGATTTTTATATGCTTCCCAGAGGCTCTAAATCACTGATGGATACAACATCACAGACATAAGATCCACAGTTGTCTTGCTTTGTCAGCGCTGCACATATTGGGCAGATTGCTGTGACAATACTATAAATTGTTACATTTCTAGTCATTTCTTTTTAACTACAGGATAAAGAAGTAAAATCAGACCCCTCTCTTTAATTGTCAACACTAAGATTATGATGCCTCCAGTAAATTATACATGAGACAGTCACGCAGAGCGCACAGGAACCAACCTTGTCAATGAAGGAGGCGAAGCGGTTGTTGAGGGTCTTGATCTGCTCCTTCTCCTGGTTGCGGACATTCTGGATGGTGGGGTCAATCTCCAGGCTCAGAGGGGCCAGCAGGCTCTGGTTGACTGTGACAGCTGTGATGGGTGGAGGGATGAAGGCTCCTCCTGCTTGGCTAGAAGATAAACCATAGCCACTCATGCTTCCAGATGTGAAACCACCTCCATAGCTAGCTCCAGAACCAAAGCCAGAACCAAAGCCAGAACCACCACCAGAACTGTAAGTTGTTCTTTGTACGGAGTAGTTGACTGGGGCAAGTGACCTCCTGGTGGAGCCACCTGAGCCTGAGACTGAGTATGACTTCCTCATCATCATGTTTGCAGTGGGAAAGGTTGTCAACTCTCTGAGAAGAGGAGAGCAGGAGATGAGATGTCGTCAAAAGGAGAGCCAAGTCCCTCTGAGTGTCTCTCTGTGGACTCTGCCGGCTTTTATGTCTTTGCTGAGTAAGGGGGAGGATCCTCTTCAGCCGCTGTAACCTGTACTCTCACTTTTGCTGTCCAGCCTCCCCTCCACCTCAGCCTACACGCCTCTGGCTCTGAATGACAGGAGTGGCCAATCCCGTAAAACAGGTAGGGAGGGATTGTGAGGAGATAAGCTGTGACACACCCTGCACTGGGACATGCTGAAGGAGAAGAGTGTGAGAGGTAAAGAAGTGGAGTGAAAATTTGATTATGTAAGGAAAAAAGAAGGGCCTCTTTGAGTCTGTAACTCCTGTCGCCTGCTTAGTGGTCACAAGTCAGTTAAATGAATATTGGATGGTAGTGGGGTCGTGGGGAGAGGTTGAGGATGTATTGAAATCCCCTTTTCTTAAAAAAAAAAAATATAAATAAATGTTACAACTAAGGCAAGCATTAGTCCATTTCAATGACCAAGCCATTGCCTTTTCAGTGAACCAAAAAAAGCTTCACAGTGGCCTCGAACATAAATCATAAATCATATACTGTATAGCTGTACATGCGTTGATGAATAACATTCAATAGTAGGAAAATTGTTTAGCAAAGTTTCCAAAGGGGAGGGATGGATGCAGATTTGACCCCACCCCTACAGTGTTGACTCCATGGCTACGACCTTGTAGTTATGTAATGGTTTTGTTTGATGTTTGATTTTTGACACTTTCAATGTTTTTCTTGTGTTATTCTTATGTTATATTATATAATTTAGCAATACGTCTGTGCTAGTAGGATTTGTGAAGCAGGATTTTTCTCCAGTCGTTGCATCAAATTATCATTAATTTACTCTTATCAGCATGAAATCTGACATCAGCAACATGTTGGAAGAATACAGTATATTTAACAAATGTTGAAAACCACTGCAGCAAGTAGAAAATCTTACCAAAGCATTTGCATAGTTAAATTAATAATGATGAGATGACTGAAAACACAACCTGCTTACACACATTTACCTGCCCTAACAAGTCATCCATACACAAGTTAAACAAGCACGGACACAGTGACCCACCCTGCTTAGCCCCTTATTTTTTATTTTTTATTTATTTATTAAATCCTGTGTAGATAATTAGGTTCTCCTCACCTGATTTTAGCCAGACTGCTATTTGTGAAGATAAAAAATTGTAACCAGTCTACCAGAATTCTCCCAGTCATGTAAGAAGAGATGTTTGCAGGGCAATAAGTGATCAAGATGCGATTATAAGGACAGCATACTGAATATAGACATGCTTTTTTTTTTTTAGGTGAATTTTGAAAAACAGATTACACATTCTTCTTATTGCAGATGTAAAATTAAATTTTCGATCAACTAAACTCACCAGTGTTGAGTTAAGTACACTGATGTTTGCTGCTACGACCTTACTTGGTCTGGTATGACCAGTTGATCGTGGCTAATATTAGCAGACGTTAGGTAAATATTGTTGTGTAATCTTGAGTTAGCTGGCTAAATGGTTCTTCTCCCTTTTTGCTACTATTACAACATGCATTTACCATTAACCTAAATTTGTCATTTGTAGTCATAGTGGCTGGTGTTCAGTAAAACATCATTTCGCTTTTAGGTCTTTGAGCAAATGACTAGTGCTATTCTCAAGACGTGCATTTTTGAATATCTTTGCTCTGCAGAGGTGATTCTGTTTGTTTTTAGCATGACAGGTTCATCTTGACTCAGTGTCTACATCTTAACAAGAGGGGCTTCCACAATCATCTTGCCATTTGCAGTTCTGTGAACTTTCAGTTTGGTCAGTGCATGTGTTCCAGCTGCCCACACTTTTTGGACTTAATGGCTAGCTCACCAGTCAAACCACACTACAGCCAAAAAAATGTGTGTCTAAACTCAAAAAGGTGTTCAGAACAGTGCTCTTTTAGCCCCAGCCACTCATTCTTATCACATATTGATGTTTGGTCATGGACCTGCCACATCCTGATACAACGTGAAAGGTACCCTGAGTGTGTTGGTTGTTGAGGATCTTGGACACTGTGTCATGTTCTGCCTGTTATATGCATTGTCTTCTTTCAAATACACTTCCGTTTTCACAGGAAATTCACCATTTGCATACAGTCTCTTTCAAAATAAATGCACTACGTCAGTACAACAATGGAATGGACATTTTTTTCCCTCACACGTGGTTGGGTTTTGCAACAAAAACACATAGGTAGGTTTAGGAAAAAAGAACAGGGTTTGGCTTAATAATCTTACGGGACGTGAACACTGCTCTCCTGGGTGAAGGTCAGTGTTTGGTGGACCCATCCGACACCCCTACTCGGACTCTTGCCACCTTAAGTTTTGTTCTTGTCCCTCTGCATTTCCCCCTGATGCGGCCGAGCGCTGTTAAACTATAATGGCGACCATCCACGTATCATGCCGACGTTAAAGGAAGGCTTTTTATGTCAGTGTCTGACACCTCAAGTCACTGCCTGATTTCGAGGACTTCGGAGTGAAACCAGGTTGGCCCCAGACAATAAAATACCACAAAACAGATCCAGTGGAGCTCCCTCCATTGATTGGTCAATAGCAGACAGTCACTGTGCTCTGTTTTTTTGTAATCACTATTCATACTGTGGAGAGTTTTATTAGTACACTATAACTACAAAATGAAAGGATGTTTTAGTCTGAGAAAAAAATAACTTAATTCACTGGGCTGACTGCTGGCGAATTTTAAGGTGGAACGTTAACTTGTAATGTTACTCAATGCACAAGTTGATGATGGAAATCCATCAACACACCTTAAATTTTCCATATGACAACTTTGACCATTACTTTAGTTTTTATATGACAATTACTACACTATGACATTACTACACTTTTAGTAATGAAAGGATCTTCAAGCAATATCGTAGACTCTCACTACGGCCTGTTCTATTTTGTTGTGAAAATGTTGGCGTGCAACCTCGTTCTGTGGACAATAAACGAGGTGCAGACTTCCATCTGTGACACCGGTAATGAGGAAATACAGTGAGTGCTGGACGGAGCAGTGAGTAACAACAACCCCGCCCACATACAAGGGTACTGTTTGCAGTGGAAACGCTAGGGTCTGGGTAGCATGTCTGAAGAGTTACATTTGGTTCCAACGGTACCATACAGAAAGTGTTTGGTGGAAACAGGGCTTATTTTGACCAAAAAAACACCTCACCCAGATAGGATAGGCGAGACTGAGCTGCGCCTGAGCCATGCTGCACATGCGGGCAGTGTAGCTGCTTTATTCTTTTAACCTATGGGGGCTGAAAAATTCAAAAACAAAAACACATGACGCACAAGCCATAAGGCCTGGGCATAAGACAGTAGCTTCTGCTCTGTCTTGTATACTGAACTGAAATCTGGACATTTTAAGCCTTCTAGTTGACATAAAACAGCCAAGCCTGGATTAATATAAACAAAGGACTAAATTACAAGCCTAAAGTGTTATTAAAGGTTATCAAACTAAATGCCTTTGGCAGAGATATGTCTCATTGGATTCTTTTTATAAGAAAGAAAACAAAATGTCTTCAGTGCTGCCAGAAAGTTGCCACACAAATCTTATGCTTCAGGCTTACAGTATGTTGGATTTTTGTTTTGTTTTGTCAGGGCATCCTTGTTCTGGTGAAAACAATCTGACACATGAATCATTGATGTGCATTACAAATTTACTGGCTTTTTTCTTACTTGATCCACGGTGTTCCATACTCAAATACTACCTTGCTTGTTTCTCTCCTGTGCACCTTTGGTTTAGTGGGAGCCTGCATTCTTTTTCATTCTTCCCCAACTTTTCACATGCACATGCCTTTAATTTCTACCTTGGTGTGGAACTTTACTCTAAAGCTCAAATCTCTGCTGTCCGACAGCTATTTGGAGAAAATTTATGTGTTAGTTTTGCCGCTGCCTAACTTAACTAAGAGATGCACAGAACTCAATGAGAAACTGTGAGCTGTGTGACCTTTTGCTTATCACTAGCCACCACCCTCACCCCGCATGCAGATACCTGTCTCTCTCTCACTGCTTTCTCATGCTGTGCCAGACTTTAACACCAGGACTCAATGCACGTATTTGAGTGCTAATAAATCACAACCACACAATAGCGATGGGCAATGCAGGGTGAGGCCTCGACAGCCGGCCCAAACAGTCTTATTATTGAGAAGTTCGATAAACATGGATTAAGAGTGATGAAAATTTCACTGGAGCGGCAAAGCTAGAAATCCTGAGAAAACCTTGTTGCTGATGTAACCTGAAGAAAAGGTCGCATAGTTACGAGCTTTGCCTGTGCTTGTCTGAAATGTCATCGGTCATGGCTGTCATAACTCACGAACTCAAGCCTGGTCAAGCCTAGATTATCCGAGGCAACTGCAAAACCTCATTCACCAAGTTAAAAGTTCATGTTACTAGATGTGTGAAATGATGGTGTGCATGTTTTTGCATAGCTGTATGAACCTTGAGCAATAAATCAAAATGTGGCCATGTGTGTCAGTAGGTGGGGCAGGGTGAGGGTCTGTAACAATGCTGCGTCCATCTGTTAATGTGTTTGCATTATTTCTTATGGGAATGTGAATTGTCTGAAAGCATTTTGTCTTCTATGTAAAAAAAAATACTCCAGGAACAGAAATGATATTCCTCAAGAGGATTGTATTTACACATACATGCATGAATACAAATGGGCGTATGCAAAGACACACAAGTGTGCACAGGTAGCTCCCACACACTAGGCTGTTCTCATGCACTCTTTGTACATTTTCCTACAAAAAGTAATGCACCACCATTTTGTTACAATGCAATGTTCTGCTGGGAGACCTTTGGTCATGCGTTCATGACGCCCTCCACCCACGCAAACACCACTATGGGCTAAGTAACCCCCCCTCACGGCAATGGTACTCCCCGATGGCAGTGCCCACCCCCAGCAGAAAAATGACAAAAAGCTCAAGGTGTCGACCTGGCCTCCAAATCTCCCACACCCCAATCTGACTGAGCATCTTGGGAAGTGCTGGTACCCCACATCAC